AACTACTCAACTCGGCTCTTTATCCCAGTCTAAGATGCCCTCAGCTGACTTGAAGACCCTTCTCTAGCACTGCTGTTAGAGCAATGAAGTCTTTGGGTTTTCTTCATCTTGTAATGTGTTTAATTTGCCTTCATGCTAAAGGTAAGGCTTTACTAGTGCTGGGGTTCCAGGCAGGCAATTCTTTTGTCACTTTAACAATAACGTTTAATCTCTCCTTCATTCCCATGACTTCTGAGAAACATCAGGGCAACCATAGGATACTCAAAAAAGTTGGCACTTCAGATTTCTGCATCATCAGAGATCTATGGCAAATATTCTTAAAGGAAACATTTAAAGGAAAATATGAAACCTGTAGCATTTCTGGTACTGGGCATTTAGTATAAAAGATATTCAACCTCGATGTGTGAAATACTGTTCAGGATGTTTTAAAAACATTTTTTTTCAATGTTAGCTTTCAGCAGTTTGTTTTGATGTGTCTCAAGTACAGTTTTCTTTTGCATTCACCTTTGAAGTTTCATGAATCTTTGTTTTTCAAAACAGGATTTCTCTAAGTAGCCCTGGCTGTCCTGGAACTTGCCTTGTAGACCAGACTCAGAGATCTGCCTGCCTCTGCTTCTGAGTGCTGAGATTAAAGGAGTGCCCCATCACTGTCTGGCTCGAGTTTCACGAATCTTTATGTCTTTTCACAAACTCAGATTTTTTGGTAATATTTCCTGTGCCTGCATGTAGAGGTCAGAGGTGGATATAGTGTGTCTTCCTAAATCACTTTTCCAACCTATTATTCCTATTTTTTAAATATTTATTTTATTTTATGTACATGTGTGTTTTGCCTGCATGTATATACATGTACCAGTTTGTGCCTGGTGCCTGCAGAGGGCCGAAGAGGGCTTTGTATCTCCCCTAGAACTTGAGTTACAGGTGGTTGTGAGGTGCCATGTAGGTGCTGGGAACCAAATCCAGGTCTTCTGCAAGAGTATCTATTACTCTTAACTTCTAGTTCCTCTATCCTAACTGGCCTGGAACTTACTCTGTAGACCAGGCTGGTCTTGAACTCAGAGATCCTCCTGTGTCTGCCTCCAAGTGCAGAGATTTAAAGGTGTGAGCCTCACTTCTACTCCTTTTATAAATTACTTTTGAGATTATAATTACATAATTTCCCCTTCCCCTTTCCTCTAAGGCCTCTCATACAACCCTCCCTGCTCTTTCAAATTCATGGACTCCTTTAGCATTATTTTATATGCACACTTGTATATGTATATACCACCCTTATTTTTTTGAGATAGGGTTTCTTACTGAAACCTGGGACTCACTGACTGATCAGACTAGCTGACCAGCAAGCCCCCACGATCCTACTTTCTCTGCTTCCCTAGTGGTGGGACTTGTGGGCACATACCACATGCCTGGCTTCTTACACCTGCTAGGACCAAGCACAGATCTTCATGCTTGCAAAGCGAGTACTGTATCAATGCAGTGCCCCACCCCATTCTTCTGGTATTCCCCACAGGTCCCTGAGGCAGGCTGCTGTTGGCTCTCCTTCTCTTGTGCTGGGGACTGAGCCCAGAGCCTTCCATGTGGCAGGTAACCTGTCTACTACTGAGCTACTTCACTACCTAGCTATCTAGTTTCAATTTGCTTTTTCTAATATTTCCAGCCTGCTATTAAACCTATTAATTTGGAAAATTTAGCTACTGCAATTTTCAACTCCAATATTCCTTCTCGGTTCTTCTCTGTTTATGTGTCTTTAAGAAAGTTCATTGCTTTTCAGACCATGGTCTTACTGGCTGGTTTAAAATGTTTCTGACAATTCCAACAGGACAACTCCTGGGAGTTGGTTCTCTCCTATTATGTAGGTCACAGGGTCATTCAGGTCACTGGACACCTCATCATCTTCACTGCTGGCCACCAGCTGGCCCCAGGCCTAGCATCTGTTGACTGCTTTCTCCTGCAGCCCCTGAGGTTTTCTTGGCTCTTCATATACTGAGGCATTGGGGATGGAATATGGGATGTTCTTTTTTTTTTTTGGTTTGGTTTTTTGAGACAGGGTTTCTCTGTGTAGCTTTGGAGCCTATCCTGGCACTCACTCTGGAGACCAGGCTGGCCTCAAACTCACAAAGATCTGCCTGCATCTGCCTCCCGAGTACTGGGATTAAAGGCTTGTGCCACCAATGCCCAGCTATGAATATGGGATGTTCTAAACATTGTATTTTAAGACTGAGCCTTTTTCCAAATCTATACAAATTTAGAAGGCCACAGAACAGGTTAGGCTCCACCTGCTGAGCAGGCAGCAAGTGAAAGCAGCAAAAGAAAAGCAATCCATATTTCCCCATGCAGGAGGCCAGACATTTAGGCACCTGTATTGTATACTGTCATCACCGTGCTGCCTGCCCATATTCTGGGCTAAGAGAGAACCTGGGGAATCCCCTTCCTGTCTGCCTCGAGTCTCATTTCATTTCAAATCAGAAAATTTCTTGGCACCTGTTCTGCAGCTGCAGCTCACAGACCCTCAAGCAGACCCATCAGAAGTGAAAGTAAGACACCTCCAGCTTGATGGAACTTCAGGTCCTATCATTCTTAGCTAGCATTTACTTTACAGAGCTACTCTGAGCATTCTGTCTATATAGCTTTTAGCTCCATTCAGCAGGAGAGAAGGGGTAGAGTATGCTTGTTGACACCTTGCCGCTAAAATGGCTCCTAATTTCATTGCACAACTAGGGTGAGAAACAACTGCACACATTTGCATGGACACTGCATAGAGATGGCTCAGCAGGTAAAAGCACTTGCCACCACATCTGACAACCTAAATGTGATCCCCAGAAACCACATGGTGGGACAGAATGACTCCTGCAAGTTGTCCTCTGTCCTACATAACACACACACACACACTCAGCTATCCCGTGTATGGCACTCCCAAAAACATTTTTTTTAAAGAGATGGCAAATACCTTATGAATAGGGTTGAACAGATAATGCATTAGGCTTTGTGTTCGTCTGCCGCAACAGTAATTTCTTCAGCTCTGTTGCTGTTCTGTGACAGCAGCCACACACATCGTCAGCAGGCATGGCTGCCTTCCAGGACAATGTTATTTGATAAACTGGTCACAGGCTGGATAGGTTTGCTGACTCCCACTCCACGTCACAAATAACGCCAATTAAACCCAGGTTCAAGCTGAGAAACTGCTCTGAGACACCTGAGCAACTTATAAACCTGATGATTTAGAAGACTGTGTGAGACCAACTGTCAAGGTCTACTTTCAGTCGCTCTTTATAAGCTGTGTCCCACCTTAAGGATTTTAAGGCTTGTCAGAGGGATAAAGATTAATTTCATTTAATGAAGTGAAAATTAAATGAATAAACCAACAACTGTTCCTATCCTTGGACTCTTTTAGCAACTGAAGGCTCTAGCGTTGCTCCTCTATAGCTCATCCCATGGTGCTCAACAACTGTGGTGTACATTCAACTCTGGTTCAATTATACTCTGGGATCCTTGAAACAGATGTTTCGTTAGAGCGAAAATAGTTTTAAAAACCAAATTCTCAGGTTGACAAGACAGGTCTGTAATTAAAGCTTTGATGACCTGAGTTCTCTCTGTAGAAGAACCCACACGGTGAGAAAGGACTGAATCATGCAAGGTATCCTTTGACATACGCACACGCGCGCACGCACACACACACAGAGTAAATGTAAAAAATTTAAAACTACAAATTTAAGACTTGACCAACTTTATATTTTTATTCATAGTGACAGCTATCTAAAGCAGGTATGGTGGCTCACATCTGTAATTCTAGCATTCAGGAGGCAGAGGCGGAAGGATCAAGACCACTAAGCAGACTTCCAAAGGAGGAAAGCAACCAACAGGCCTACCCAGCTATGACGCCCATGAAATATAACAATGACCAGCGCAGCATGTTAACACCAAGGGTGCAGTAATGGCAGGCATACCTTGGCTGCAACCAACAGCTCTCTAATTGCACTTGGGTTCCTCTCAGTAAGAGGGAAATCATGCCTGGTACTGGAAACTAAGACAACTACGTTCTAAACATTTGTCCTTATTCTCATAGGTAAGTGTAGTCCTCATCCCTCATCAAGGAAACTTCTCTTTGAAACAGATGGGAGACCACTGCAGAAAAACACAATAAAAAATACAGTTGTGGAGCCCAGTTCCAATGGATCCGTCTACATCACAACCCTTGCATCTAAGGCTTATGGATAATCATAGAAGAGGGAGAAGAAAAGTGGTAAGAGCCAGAGGAACTGGGAGTTTAACGTGAGACTGTGTCTCCTAGAAATGCCACAAGCTACACCTATAAAGTTTCACCAACATGGCTGCCTGAACATGATCTGAACAAGGACGGCACAAATACATATGCTAACATGGAAGAGGAAGCTCATGAGGCTCCACAGAGAATTACAGGTAACTAGACTGCTGAGAGCAGAAGAAACAGACTTCCCCAGGGAAGCACACCAATTATAACCAATACTAAATGGCCGACCATTAAAATATACCTACATACAAGTAACATAATACTGGGAAGATTCTATTTATGTACTTAGGAATACATAGATATTCACTCACACACACACACACACTCACACACACACACACACACACACACACACACACACACACACACACCATTAAAGAAAAAAAGAGGCCATGAGGTCAAAGGAGAGCACAGTGAGGGGAACATGGGAAGGTCTGGAAGGAAGAAAGGGAAGGGGGAAATGACGTAATTATATTATCCAAAAAAAAAAAAAAAATTTAAAAAGTTAAGACCGGCTGAAGGTACACAGCAAAGTTCCAGGCCAAGCTGGGATACACTGAGACCCTATTTAAAGAGTAAACAAAACAAAAATAAAAATTCTGCAGTTGTTATCCTTCCAAATAGAAACCCTCTCAGCAGTCTTCTTGAGGTCACTTTAAGACAGAGGAAGTCATAAAAATGTTGTCCTGACCTGTCTTTCCAGGCCAGAGGCGCAGCAAGGTCACCTCTTCTCCCTCACCTGGTTTCCTGCCGCAGAGGTAGAAGGCCAGCCTGTCAGTCAGCTCGTACTGTATCTCCACGAGGCGCTCCGCCAGCTCATGGTGGCCTCCTTGCCTACCAAGAGAACAAAGCCCCATTGACATGGCTCAGCTCACTGGCATCGAGTCTGCAGAGCACAGAGCCATTCTTAGACACCAAGCAGCTTATCAAACGTGACTCTCTGGAAGGCAGCATGCTGACAGTCATGATCTTTCAGTGTGTTGTCGCCCCCCCCCCCCAAGCTGTGTCCCCACCAGGTACTCATGGGAGACTCATGGGAGGGATAACGAGGTCAGAAAATCAAACTAATCAATGGAAGAGGTTCTCAAAGTCAACTAGAGTGCTCCCAGAAACACTAGTTGGGAGCTCTGATCAGGAAGAATAGGACGGCCCCAGGCCACTACCCTGAAGAAGTCCCTTCCTCCACAAGATCCTGATGCCTGTGGCCACTGCCCTGTCCTAGCCTTGAAGTTACTTTAAAGACTTCAAGGCAGACAGACTACCCTGACACAGAGCTCATCCCTGCAGCTTCTTCTGCCTCTGTACCTGCCATTTCTGCTACAGGAAACAGTGTTTGCCTTTCTTCATTCATAAAATATTTGAGCTGCTTGGAATCCTTTTAGCATATAAGTAAACTGTAACATTGAGACTATTACATGCCAAGTACACAGGAGATTCCAAAGTAAAAACAGTGTTGACGTGGATTCTGTTATATTCTAAGATCAAATCTAGCTCCAGGCAGTCTCTCTCTCCACATACTTCCTGACCTACACATATCTGAATCTAACAGGCACCCTGCTTTCTCAGTAGATGAAATGGGCTTTAGCGGTGCATCTGGTGGAGCTTTCTCTGTCAGTGAGGACTGAAATGAAGCAGCATGGTCCAACCCCAAAGCTGATCAGACACTGCCTTCCTCTCCCTACTCCCACACCCTTGCCTTCTCCAGTCCAATCTCCACGGTGATGAATACACTTCGTCCATCCCCATCTCCCACCCTTGAATCTGTCTTTTCTCTCAAGGATTCTTTAGTTCCTCCTTCACAGGTCCAAATCCAACCCACTCCTCAACAACCACTGAAGAAATCTAATCATTGGAGCCAGAACGAAGAAACCTTACATATGCTCATTTTCTGTTATGTGTCACTATGTGTGTATGGGGTGGACATGAAACATGTTTGCATGTATGTGGGCCCATGTGTTGGTGTGGATGCACATGTATATGGAGGTTCAAAGCTTACATCAGAAATCTTCCTTGACTGCTCTCCACCTTATCACTAAGGCAAAGTCTTGACTGACCCCAGAACCTGATGACACAGCTAGTCTTGCTAGTCAGCTAGCTACAGGGATTCTCTGTCTGCCTTCTACTGTTGGAATACAGCAGGGCCACCACGCTCACCCATCACGATCACAAGGTATTTGTGTGAGCTCTGAGGGTCCGAACTCTGGTCTTCATGCATGCACAGCAAGTGCTTTAGTCAGTGGGCCATCTCCACAGCCCCTGACACATGCTTTTTGAACTTTATCATGTATTTGATGGCATGTGTGTGGGAGTGGGTTCTTTCCCTCGTCTCTCTGGATTTTGCCAAGCATGCACATACCAGGATAGCTGGTTCACAAGCTTTGTAACTCTCCTGTCTGCCTCCCATCCTGCTGTGGGTGTGGGGATTACATATGTGTGAACACCACACCTGTCATTTCATGTGGGTTCTGGGGACCACACTCAGGTTTTTATACTAGCCACATGTACTTTTTAAGACCAACTTATCAGCAGTGCATGGTAGTTCACACCTGCAATCATAGCATGGGGAGAGGGAGGATAGCATAGGCAGGAATATTTCTGTAAATTCAAGGCCAACCTGGGTTACAGAGTCAGACCCTGTCTCAAAACAGAAAACAAAACAAAACATGGCTAATTGTCCATTTTGTCAACAATTCATACATAATCTTGCCTCAATTCCTTCAGGTATTTATTAGTCATCTTTTCTAGAGAAGTAAAGCCAGGATTCTGAGACAGACTTTTGTCATTTTCCCTGTTTAATTCGTTGTGAAGCAGAATAAGATGCTTCATAGTTAATAAATCTGGAAAGAGAAGGAAAGATGTCCACCTTCCCTCACCTAGACTTGCATGTTTAAATGGATTTATTAAACCCCATCAAGTTCCTTCATGCTCCAGCATTTCAGCTGTAGCAGAGTATAGCAGTTACTCAGGGGCACACGGTAAGAAATTCAAGATCCGCATGGTATCAAAACCAAACCAAACCACAGCAGGAACAATTTAAAGATGCATTAAAAACTTGAAGAGTGGGTTTTGCATTTCGCCCCCAATGTCAGGGATTGAACTCATGCTCCAGCCTTGTGCTATGTTTCTAGTCCTATTTTGTTCCTTGTGCGAATAGGCAGGCAGGCCACTCAGTGAGCCATTTCCCTAGCCCCTTCTCTAATTCTAATTTTTTTTTCCTGGGTTTTCAAGACAGAGTTTCTCTGTGCCTTTGGAGCTGTCCTAGAACTAGCTCTTGTAGATCAGGCTGGTCTTGAACTCAGAGATCCTGCCTCTGCTGCCCCCCCCCCCCCCCCCCCCCCCCCCCAGTTCTGGGATTAAAGGTGTGCGCCACCACCATCCCGGCCTCTTATTTAATTTTTAAAATTAAGATTTATTTATTTTTATGAGTAAATGTTCTAGCTGCATGTAAATGCATTTCAGGTGTGCCTAGTGCCCTTGGAGGACAGAAGAGGGTGTTAGAACCCACAGAACTGGAGTTACAGATGAGGGAACATTTGGTGCTGGGAACCTATCCCTGAACCCCAGTGCTCTGCAAGAGCAGCTGGTGATCTTAACCACTGAGCCAACTCTCCAGCCACCCAGACTCCCAATTCTTGATACTTATTTGTTCGCTATTGCTTGAACACTACTTTGTTACAATGACTGGAAGTTAAGCACACCAGTTTATGATTCTAGATTCCGTGGTCTTGCCTGTCTCAACTGATGTTGAGATGTCTTCATTTACAAAATAATAGAATGTAAATCTCTAAAGGACTGAACACAAATCACACACAGTTCAGTCACTTAGCAAGGAAACATACTCAGCACACAGATGATCCAAGACCCTCAGCCCCTCACCTTGCATAATCAACAGGAGTCTTCCCACTAGAGTCTTGCGTGCCTGGGTCAGCTCCATATACTGCCAATAATTCAGCCTGTAAAATCTGTCCTGCTTTGGAGGCGACATGGAGTGGAGTGCTTCCTTTTTCCTAAGAATTATTAATAACGGTAGACTCTGTCCTGCTTTGGAGGCGACATGGAGTGGAGTGCTTCCTTTTTCCTAAAATTAATTAAAAACGGTAAAAAAAAAAAAAAAAAAGCAAACTAAGTAAACTTAGCTATTCAAATACAACTCAGTCAATCTGACATCTGAATCAATTGATGTTTCCATACAGGATGAAAGAAGTTGGCTTGGGCTCCTAGAGATAGCAGTCTCAGACAGGTCTCCAGGTTCCCTGTTCTCACACTTGAATGCAGTTGCTGAAAAACAAAGAAAGAGTAGTTGTAAAAAGCGTTATTAAGAGTGATGTGTTGGAGCAGCTGGTGACCTATTTTAATACACTCTCCATTAGTAACAAATCTTTCTTTGGCTTAGGAAGACAGGGAGTTCACAATGGCTACAGGCTGTAGGTGAGTCTCACACATTTTACCCACAAGGAGCTAGAACTGTGAAGGCTAGTATGGGGCGTGCCAGGTAAAGGTACAACTATAACCCAAGTGGGAAGCACTTCAAGATGGGGCTCTGCAGTTGGGTGGAATGCATTTCAAGGTCTACTGCCTTCCCCCTGTATGATCTGACAAAAGCTCTTCGGGCAGTGAAACCTGGGTACCTGACACAAGAAACACTTCAAACCTCAGACACAGCTACACTCTTCATTATTAGATGCTGCCACGGGTACTGCTGTCCCTGGGGCCTCAAGCTGCCATGCATAAGTACACCTGCCTTTCATCATCTGCCATTAGTCTGCATTTTTCATCTAGCCACTAAATGCTTTTACTAGGCTGCTCTTGGTGGGAAACAGGGCCGTACTCCACCAAATTCCTTGTTACCACAGAAAAGCTCTAAAACAAGCACAAAGCAAGCTTTCCTTCAAGTTTAATCTAGAATTGTTCCAGACGCAGTAATTGGCACCATAGAAACAGAGAAACCTACTGTAGCCAGTCTTTTGGTTTTTTTAATTATATGTATGTGTGTACATATGTGCACATTGAGTGCAGGTGCCCACAGAGGCCAGAAAAAGGTGTCAGATCCTCTGGAGCTACATTACAGATGGTTGTGAGTCATCTGATATGGTTCATCTCCAAGAACACTATGCATTTGCTCTTAATTACTGATCCATCTCTCCAGCCCCAAATTATTATTATTATTATTATTATTATTATTATTATTATTATTATCACTCACCCACCCACTTTTACACAAGGTCTTACTATGCAATCCTGGCTGTCCTAGAACTCACTGTATAAACCAGGCCAGCTTTGAATTCACAGCTATCTCCCTGCCTCTGACTCCCAAAAGTTGGGAATTATATACCCACCACACCTGGCTATGGTTTTTTATCTGGTAAAAAAGGAGAGAAACTACTTAGGTCTATTAATTAGCAGAAAAACGATACATGTCTGTGTAAATTAGTACTCTGAATCATGCACGTACTCTGTTCAAAGCACCTCTCCAAAACTAAGATGTGCGTTTTTATACCACCTATTCTAGATACCCAAGGCCCACAGAGAAAGTGCCCGCTCACCACTGTGACAGACCCTGAGTGGGACAGCTCAAGTCACACTCTACCTTCTCAAGGTCCTCCTTGAGGACCTTGCACCCGTGAAGCTGAAGCAGTGAGCCTCCTCCCTCCTCTGTTCTAGTCTCAAACACCCTGAAAACTTCCTAGGCCCTTCCAGAAACACTCCTTTGAAATGGCTGTTATTTCCAAGCAGAGAACTTACCCAAACATATACATGAAAATAGTACTGAAAAAGCACAAATCATTAATTAAAATTTTATTTATTTGTTTTTGGGTTTTTCCGAGACGGGGTTTCTCTGTGGCTTTAGAGGCTGTCCTGGAACTAGCTCTTGTAGACCAGGCTAGTCTTGAACTCACAGAGATCTGCCTGCTTCTGCCTCCTGAGTGCTGGGATTAAAGGCTCAAGCCAACACCACCCGGATAAAAATTTTTTTATTCTTTTATTTTTTAAGATTTTATTTATTTATTATGTATACTACATTCTGCTTCCATGTATATATGCACACCAGAAGAGGGCATCAGATCTCATAACGGATGGGTTTGAGCCACCATGTGGTTGCTGGGAATTGAACTCAGGACCTCTGGAAGAGCAGTCGGTTCTCTTAACTTCCCCAGCCTCTAAATTTTTTTTTTAAAAGAGGGAAAAATCCTGTTTCTGAGACACTTATTTTTCCTCTTTGGCTGGTATGTTCAAGAGGAGTGACTGCCACTTAAGAGAAAATGGCAACAGTCAGTTACTTAAAGGTGCAGAAGAGACTGGTATCTCCCTCCTGTACCACTTCTAAGTGAATTGAGCCACTGTCTCACCAGACTCCCTGAGGGACTGTAAAGAATGTGCCCACCTTACTAAGATCTTTGGCAGTCACACTGTCGTCGTCACGGCAGGGCAAACGGTGAACAAACGCTAACATCTGATACTTGGCTCTGATGAATTCTGCTTTATTGGGGCTGGTTTGAAAACAAAAAAGCAAACAGTTCACTTGCAGTTCAGACACATTTCTCAATCTTTGTACTGTAAGAAGAGGTAGTGACCACAGCCCCCACTTGAGAATACACTTCAGCAGTGCTGAAGACATGATCTGAAAACACATTACCACTTTTATAGCGTCTTTCTTCCCTTTCTGACTTCCTTAACTGATGGAACCCAGGAGGAAGTAGCATTTAGTCCCTCATCAGGTGAGGCACTGGGCAGAAGCCGCTATAAGCCAGGTTTCTGGTCTGACTGCCACTAGTTCTGACACCTAGTCGCCAAGCTCTGGTCTACAACTGGAGAAATCATTTCATTCAGCAGGGTAACCAAGCAAGCAATGGCCCACCTGCCTCACTCTGCCTTTCACACAGCAAAAGCCCCATGCACAAGGCCGATCAAAATAGCCACATTCCTTCCAACAGGGCCATTTGTTGCGAAGAAATAGAAGTAGTTTGAAACATTGCACTCACTGTACTTTATCCTGTGGATTAGCTTTCCGTCTTCCACTCATAATAGACGCGGGGTCCAGCAAAGAATGCTCCCATATAGAATTAGCACCATTGTTATACAAGGTCTCAACCATCTGAAACCAAGTAGCATGAAATGATATTTTATTTCCTCAAATATTCAAAAAGAGTCAGTGAAAAAAAATGGAAAAATAGCACATCATTAACCATACTAGCACGTCTGTATAACGCTCCATTACTGTTTCTGATTGTAGAGTCAGACTGAAGAGCTCGAGGTAGGATTTGGCTTTGCTTATAGAATAGCCAATCTGGCGTGATTGTATGTACTTACAAACAGAAGAAAAAGTGACTGATGATGCTTTAGGGTGGCATTTTCCTGCCTGAACAAATGCTACTTTATCCCCGTACACACTAGTCACTTAATACTTTTCATTAAATCCACCTATTTAAAGAATATTATTAATAATTGTTAGTTTTTTTATACATACCTAAATAAAGTAATGCAATAAACGTATATCTCAGTGCTATCTCTCTCAAACACCCCATTAGGGTTCATGTCTCTCCTTAGTGTCAACCCTGGCATTTTCAATTACTCATCTCTGGACCGTTTGTAAATTCTAAAACTGTAAACAAAGATAGACCTGGAAGCAGCACACTACTTTCGTGTGAGAATGGGCCTTTGGGAAGTCCTAAGTAGAATGTTTTTGTTTGGTTGTTTTGGTTTTTGGAAGACAGGGTTTCTCCACGTAGCCCTGGCTGTCCTAGAACTCCCCTCTTGAGTGCTGGGATGAAAGGTAGGAGCCACCAATGCCTGGCTTAAGCAGACCATCTTAACAAACATCTCAACTTCATTATCCAACAAACAGGACTCCTAGGAAGGCCCATCTGCTCGTGCAGCTCATGGGCATCTCTCTCTCTCTCTTTTTAAATTTTTTTTTTAATCAAATGATTTATTGAACCTTTATGTGCATTGGGGTGAAGGTATCAGATCCCCTGGAACTAGAGTTACAGACAGCTGTAAGCTGCCATGTGGGTGCTCTGGGTCCTCTGGAAGAAGAGTTAGTGCTCTTAACCACTGAGCCATCTCTCCAGCCCTCATGGGCATCTCTTATCAGCAACTCAAAGCACTTGCTTTGGTACCTTGGTTCATGTGAGTTTAAGGAGTGCCATGTAGAGCAGTTGCAGATTTAGTGAGATGTGTATTAAGACAAATATCACAAAATGCACTGCTGTGGAATAATCCTTCTGTACATTGTGAAAATGTCCCACTGAAAAACTCAGACTACAATGCACGATAAATCCCAAGTTTCAAAAGAACTGAAGAATGTGTACCCCAAATAAAAGTACAAGGAACATGACATCAGCTCCCAAATAAGACAAAGACCCCCTGACAAGTATTAGGTGCACAATCAAAACATGCTCACTTAGTCTCTGCCTGACATTGAGGCTTTAAGAAAACCTCAGATGCTGAAGGGATTTCTGAAGAATCCCAGGCTACACTTTGATCAAAGCAGGAAAAAATTGTCTAAAAATATAAGCAGATACTTAGGAATTGCATGTTAATGACAAGTTTTTCAGCAGTGGGGCTTTCAGGATCATTTATCACAGTATATAGGAAAGACAGACTTTTTAAAAATAATTTCTAGGAGCTGGAGAGATGGCTCAGTGTTCTAAACCAAGCCCTTGTTCTTGCAGAAGACCCGGGTTTGAGCCCCATCAGGAGATCCCGTGCCTTGGGAGGTGAGACAAACACACACACACACACACACACACACACACACACACTCACGCATGCATGCACACACGGAAAATAGTTATACATATAAAATAAATAAATCTAAAAAAAAAAAGGTTAAAAAATAAAAATAATTTCTGAGGGCTGGAGAGATGGTTCAGTGGTTGAGAACACTGGCTGCTCTTCCAAAGTATATAGGTTTAATTCCCAGCACTCACATGGCAGCTCACAGATGTCTGTAACTCCAGTTCTAGGGGATCCTGACACCTTCATACAAACATGCATTCAGGCAAAAGCACCAATGCATTAAAAATAAATTAACTAAAAAATAATTTCTGATGTTGGACATGGTGGTACAAACCTTTAATTTTAGCACTTAGGAAGCAGAGGTGACCAGCCAGGGCTACACAGTGAGACTCTTGTCTCAAACAAAATAAAACAAATTCTAGTGACAATCTAGAAAGTCAGCAGCCAAAACTTACTAAGAAATGTAAACTTTTATTGATACATTCTATTGATATATCTATGTATAACTGCATTTCAGGGAACAACATTATGTTAGGTGATCAAAGAATGAACAGATACTGATTTCAATACAGGGCAATAGTATACTATACATAGAAACGAAGGGTACAACACTTTATCCATTTATGATCCAAATATTTTTATAAGATTTAAGATGTACATTAGGAGATCTTTTAGTTGCTAAAATAACAATCCTAAAACACAAATTTCCAATTATGAAAATTTTCTTATTATTTACCTGAAGCAGTGTTGGAGGCCATGGTGTGTGTTTAAGATGCCTTACTTGGGAGATATGGCGTCCTAGACTCCGATGTACACTGCAACACTCGTCACATATAAAAGTTCCCCTATTTACTGATGCCCAGGAAGGATCTGGAAAAAGAATGACACCTCAGTGGCAAGGACACTAATTGGATGCTATATACAGGGTGGTGAAAGATGGCTGACACTTGATTTAAAAAAAAAAACAAAAAAAAAAAAACAGAACAAGTTTTTGTTGTTTTATGTTTCTCAATATATGACTCGGATGGACCAGCCTGAGGATCCCACCCACCTTGACTGAACTTACAGCCCTACACAGCAGCTGCCTTCTTCCTGTGCAGGCTCGTCTGCAGCCTGACTGTGGGTCCACCACCACACCATAGGCACATACTCTTACAGAATGGTAAAGAAGCAGATTGAAGGAGCAGGGGTGGGTCATTCTACTGTTTCCTTGCAGTGCTGGGGATTGAACCTGGGGCCTTGTCCATGGTGGGCACGCTCTACCATTGAGCTCCGTCTCAACTCAATGAATCATTTTTAGTCCATCTTTGTAAATAAGACTACACAATCTTGACAGTGGATTATTCTCATACAGTATCTAAAGTAAACAGTGAAGTGCCCACTGCCCAGTGTAGGAAGTCAAGGCCCATATGCTAACACAAATCCAGAAGAGAACTGCAGAATTGTTCAGCTCTTCTGAGGCAGGAAAGGGTGGCCCACTCCTCTAAGGCAATGCTCTATGACAACACCAGTTGTTTTAGACAACCTGCTGGATCCAGTCTTGCAGCTGACTCGAAGGAAGGCACCTCACAGAAATAAAGACGTAAACCAAAATGAACAGCATTTCTCGTTGAGTACAATACTTTCTTTCCTTTGAAATCCAAAAAAGCTTCATCACACAATCTTTCATAAGAGGAATAATTTACACTATTCAGGCAGGATGGTTCTGGGCAAGTAAACTGAGCCTTAGAAACCCCAAATAAAGACAGGCCTTTCCCATTCCATCAGACTCACAGTGCGGTGACAGTAGGTGCTACTCCAGCTGCCTGGCCTAAGGGTTACACTTTAAAATTCTTCAATGTCCACAAAAATCTCTAAAATGCATGTATATCATGCTTACCATTTTTAACAATTTATTCTAACCCCTTCAAACCATATAATGAAAAGTTATGGGATTTCAATCAGAGACAAACCCTGGGAGCCAGAGAATACGGTGGTAAGAGGGTTGGTTATGGAGACAAAGAGCCCATGGTTTGAATTCCAACTCTGCCACCACTTCTTGTGCAATAATCCGAGGCAAGTTACTTCTTTGAGTGTCCTCATAGTGGGACAGGGAGGGTCAATGCAAATAAGAATAAATAAAGTATCTATCATGGGGGCACAGGAATGATGCATTTTAAATGAACTAGATTCATTAAAAACAAACAAGAATCAGGGCTGGGCTTTGTGGAGCCCCCACACCAACCACAAAGGTAAACAAGACATAATCATAGTGAAGTGTGTTCCCTAGGACAAAACAGAAAAGAATCCAGCAGGTTCAACTGTAGTTGCTACTATGGCATTCTAAGGAGGCGGGCGGGGAGTATGAAGATTCTGACAGACACATGCAACACTGCTTCTGCATCGTCTATTAGTATTAGGACTGGACATGTGGCTTTGCTTTTTATTGTCAGAGGTTCACAGTATTCCTAGGCAAATCAACCAGGAGGAGAGCAATGGTTTAGCCCACATTAAACCAACGGTCTTGATTAATCACTTAAACACCACGGATCAGAATCCCAAGGAAAGAACACTGACAACACAGAAAATGACAATCAAGCTTTTGTCAATGAGGTTGGGTGAAGTCCTTCCAGTTTATCTGGAAGGTTCCATGAACAAACACTACACATGGACTTCAAAGGTATCTGTGCCTCCGGCCATCGTATGCAAATTCTGTCCAGGAGAGTTAAGTATTTCATCGTCTTCTGAGATGGCCTGCACATTAAGATTTCAAAGGAGCCCGAATCCTACAGCTGACCCTCCACCTAAGCGGTGCATAAAAGGCAGCATAAATTCCTAGTCTGCCAGTTCACCCTTCAAGGTAGCCTCATTATATTCAAAACAGGAAGGAAGTGACTCAAGTTTTTCTAGATTTTGGCATTCAAGACAACTAATATGAAACAACAGACAAGGTCCTGAAATGGCACAAATGGACAAGACAGTTTTCAGGGTACCAAGGAGAAGCCATCTGCTTTTGCCTCGTACCTTCCAGTGGAGAAGTAAAGAATGTGCATCCCAAGAGGAAGTTTTAAGTTAGACACACATGAATCAACGGAAAACAGGCAAGAAAAGAAGGAAGCGGAACAATCGACATTTTATAGAAAATGATAGTTTGTACAAACCTGGCTTAGAGTATAAAGCACTCCTTTAAAAACCCTCCCTGCCTGTCTTTACCTTCCCTCTGAACTGTTAACCTGTAGTAGCCAGGACTATGAAATAACTAAGAGTTAGCACAGCACCATTTACAATCTGCCTCTGCTTCTAAATGACAAGATGAAAACAGTTACAAACCGCCTGTGTTCAAAGACTTAATTAGGCTTGTTTATTGAACATCGGAAAGTCATCTAAATATGTAACTGACTAAACACTCGAAGTTAATCAAGTCCAAGAAACAAAATGATCACAAAAAAATCCGAATCAAAACATGTCAATTGGATTCCAATTACTAAGCCAGATCCAATCTTCGAATCCAAACACTATCTGCAGTAGGAGCCGTTTTGGCCATTCGATGTCCCCGAGTTTACAATGCCAGCGACTGTGTGTTTGGTACACTTCTGAAGCCAAATTGCAGCTGAAGGAACTACAACGGTTTTCAACTGAGTAACATCATACAAAAGACACGATCCCCTGGGGAATATCCCACTGACCACTGCGCACTGTACTGGTGATAATTTCCACCGGGAAAATGAGGAAAACCAGGTTAGAGCAAGTGAAGTCATTAGTCCAAGGTCACGCAGAGGGGCGAA